CACACACACACACAGACACACACACACACACAGAGATTCAGTCTCCAAACAAGTCAGTTTGCTCACCTGCCTCCTCTGGCAGACAGCAATGAATTCATTCAGCAAACGCTGGAATGCAAACATTTTTAAATGTTTTAACATCAGTGAGTCAGTTTGATTCATAACTCGGGTGTCTGAGCCTGATGCTATCAGATTATATTTTATTAATAAAGCAGTGGATGCACCGTTAGTAGAGGTTTCAAAAGTTGACTTAACTATCGGTATAAGATATGATATATAAGATATGGGTAAATGATTAGCAAAGAGTGAAAGGATTTCTTCATGAAAAGGAGGTTTTTTTCATCTTCCATTACAATTAAGAAACACTGTGGTACCTTAAGGAGCATGCCGGATGACATTTGTTAGAAAACAATATATTGCAAAGCCATTAATTAATTATTCTATTCTGTGGCCACGACTTTCTCAATGCATGAGAACAAGAACATTAAGTTGTGGCTGTGACGTAACGCATCGGAATGAGTTAATTAAAGTTTGCAATGTGGTGGTATATATGTCGCAAACACAAACATATGAGTGACGTCAAAAGTTTGCAAAAAAAGATTTCATTGTAAATTATTTCAGTGTCTTTGATCTATATGACGTTTGGGTCGCTGCTTGTGTGTGTGCATCTTCCAAACATATGATTTTGCGGGAAAAGCCATCTATGTAATCATCGATGCACATTCCACACGGTTTTACCTTCTTGTAAGAATCTATTATGCTCGATATAGTTAGGCCCGAGCTAAAAATACTGCATACAGTTTAGTCGCCTGGAACGACACATGGCTGAGGAGTTAGGGTCCAGAGCAGCAGGAATCAAATAAACATCTTCCTTTTTTGCATGAATGCCCTTTTTTCAAACATTTTTTGTACATCCACCTGTAACCATTTAGTCTGCAGGTCCTTCCAGTACGTGCATGATGAAATCTATAACTTGAACTTCCCTGTGGTCAGCTATTGTTTGCGTTTGAGACTGTGGATTGTGAGCAGCCAAAGCAGTGTGAGCAGTCTCTCTTGCTTAGAATTACTAAATGCTTAACCTCAAGAGACTGAAGTATGTCATTATGATTCATTCTTAGCTTCAAACAAAACTTCAAACTTGTCCATGTTTGCAAGCGGCTTAAGATACTGAGGATACCCCTGCCAGTTAGTCAACAAACAGTCATCTCCATAGAAATGAATAACAATAATTCTCTCCCAAAATAATTTGATTCCCATGCCTTTATTAAAATGTGGCCAAGGCTTAATCATCTTGTTCCTACACGGTATTAAGTAGTGGCCATGCAATTGTTTTCCAACAAATGTTACTAGAGGGGCATTCCGGACTGCTGCATTTTAATAATCATCAAAAAGGTGTCAAATACCACCAGTGAAGGTTTAAGTAACGTAGACGGGACACATCTAGTGTCTGAGAGGCTACAGATTCATTTGTGTGCATGAGACTAGTCGACTATTCTATGAAATGCGAGTCACCAGACGAGCTCCGTAGTTCTCATTCTTTAATGCTCACAAGCATTCTCATCTACATGTACAGTATGTGCTCACAGATGGCATAATGGACATTCCTGACAATGGTTTCACACTAGTTGTGGCAGTAACACTTCAGGAAATGTGCCAGCAAAAGCCAGTGAAAAGGAAGGTTGTAAACTAGCAAAGATGGATGTAAACAATGTAAGCTTTGCAAACTTTTTATGAGGAAGTCAAAGAATTGAGTCTATAAGGGAGTAAACCTGGGTATATTCACACCAGGTGACACCAAGACAGCAGAAGCCAGACAGTGTCTCTGTGGTATGTGCAGCAACCCAGAGGAAGCCGGCCAGAGGCAGAGATGAGAGAGGCTCCCCCTCCCTCCAGCTTTAGGTTCGTCTCCTTCTGTCTTACTCCAAACTTCTTGGGAGTTTGTGTTTGCACTGCAGTCTTGACTTACTCTGGCTCCCTATGTGTGTTTATTTAAAGATTTTTTTTTTATTACCCTATAGGAGCAGTAAATTCTCATAATAATTTCCTGTCTGTTGTTTAAGTTTTAGTCATCTCTTTACTCAGTAGATTCAAAGTGGTTGCAAACTTTTAGTGCAGAGGAGGCGATTCTATCTGCCCACAAATCCAGTAGTTGGTAATACCAGTGTACCATGTTGAGGTTTTGCTACACTGTTTATTACAAGAGAAAGAATTAGAATTGCTTCAACATGTTAATGAGTTAAAAAAACAAATTGTGACTCTTGTCATGTAATGCTTTGACTACTGCAATGCCTTTTGGCTTGGCTGCCAGCGTGCACAGTAAAATATCTGCAAATGATCCGAAATGGGACGGCACTTAACGTTAACTTAACTATAAGATATAATATATAAGATATGTTTAACTTACTATTGATACATTTCTTAACTAATTACAACCTAGGATTTGCAATTAGGGAAACAGTTTTTCTTAAATCAGGTCTTGAGCATCAACAAATAGTTTTTGGATGTCCCAAAGTGACTGGCATCACACAACCACTACCAAACATGTTCTCTAAATTCTTGCTGTTTGTCAAAAAAATGTAGTATTATGTATATAATGGAGTCTAGTGGAAGTCATTTTTGCAGTAGAATTGTGATCGACAATAATATAAAAAGACGAGACCCATATTAACTTTACAGCCTCCTTAATGCACTCTTGCTTTTCAAGTATGAAACCATCCTGTTTAATTTCCATTAATGGACAGCGACATCTGCTGCAGTAAAGTATGTGTGATCTTTTTTATCCTGCAGCTGTCGTACAGTAACAACATCACACGCCTTTGTCTAAAGCCACTACTACTGCACATCTCACACGTGGACCTGTTCTCTTCACTGTATCGGAGTACGCTCGCGTATCGGCACGTTTAGAAATCCAATTACATTCATGAGCGGAGGTTGGCGGAGGGAACACGCACATGATGTGCCAATTTAACAGTCGGACAGTAATTCATAAGCGCTCTAAACATTTCATAGCTGACCTTCACACCTTCGTGTTTCATTATGTCAAATGATAGGACATGCTCCACAGCCACGGTTTATATTATCACATCATGTAATGTTTGTAGGCCTTTCAGTATAAGTTAATATTATGGGTTGCAAAAAGGAGGTTTGAACACCAGGTATTAAAACAAGTTAATAGATGCCAATAAGAGCCAGATGTTTCCCTTTGGGTTTGTCTGCAACTTCTGAGTTAAAAGAAAGTGAATATTGATCTTACAGTCGTCATGTTGCCGTCAACATGACTGCAAATGAATACTAATGTTGCCACGTATCTGCTAGCAACTGTCTGTTCACACGTTTGCCAGATCAAGTTAAAAAGGTGACAATATGTCAATATCACATCAATAGGTTGTTTCTGCTAAGTGGTCAACAATATGAATGCAGCTTTAAACACTCCATAGTTTGCTATCATTGTGTTTTTTAAGGTTTTCTCTGATATAATAGATCAAATTAGAACCTGAGATATTTATATGTAATCCTTGATACACATGCCATATCATAGAGATATCTGGCAAATATTTGTATTAAACATGTGATATTAATTTGTAGCCCCATTGCCTTTAACTACATTTAGAATGGAGATGGAATAGAATTCATTTTTACTACAGTAAAAGATGTAGACTGATAGCGGCAGAAAGAGAGAGACATGGATCTTCATATATTGTAGCACAGCTCCACTTCTCTTACAGTCCAGCCACCAATCCATCCCTCTCTCTCGGGATTTTTTTCTTCCCTTTTTCCTCTCCGACTTCGCACAAGTATCACCCTGTCATCACTTTCTGTGTCTCCTCCATTGCAGACTAAAGGTTCCTGCCTGTGCTATATGCTCAGCTCTGAGCTAAAGTTTCAACTATAAGAACAACAACATGAGATGGTGAGCATCGAAAAAGTCAGTCTTGGTGAAAAATATACTTTCCTTAAAAAAGATTTTTTTAAAAGAGGGAGAAAGAGAGAAATCATTCTACAAAGCAAACTGTAGACACATACACACATGTATAAATATACATGTCGGATGACGTCTTTTCCAGATGGCACAGGGTCTTATCTACTCCTCCGCTCTTTCTTGGCAGCTCTCTTCTTGCTTTTGCGTTTCTCGTCCCTCTTTATTCACCCTCACAGGAGATTCCTGCGAGCCCTCTTCTCTAATGCCCAAAACAACAGACATTAATAATTTGCCCAGGGACTCAGTAATGATACTGTACACACAAACACACCGCTAAGATGAATGGAGGGCCTACTGGGTCTCTCATTAGTAAGCAATGAGAGACCCAGGCTCCTCGGGTCCAATATAGCAGGATGTGTGTGTAAAGAAGAGAAAGATGGTGAATAGAGGGAGAACGGGTCAAAATCAAAGATAGTGTGTGTTTGTGTGACTGAAGCTTCAGCAGTTTTTCAGTCATAACCATCTAACCCTAACCCTAATGAAGGTTTGTTTTATTGACCCGAAGAAATTTGTCAATAAGATTCTAGCCGTATCAATAAATAAATTAGTAGTATTAATATTTTACTGATACACATTTCCTCATTTTCACTTTCCAAAACATGCAAATCAACTAGTTTTCTAAAATAATAATGTATTTTTTTAAGATGACATTAATTATATGACTAATGTTTCGAGAATAAATAAGTTAACACTTTGTTATGATTGGGGACCCCATGAATAAATACTGTGAGAAACAGTCTGTTCAATATGTGTGTAGGATGAAGGTTAAAGAGTCGGGCGCTAAACCATAGCGTTCCAGAGGAAGGTGTTAAAAGGCTGAATACAGCTATAGTCAGACAGACAGTATGAGTTCCAGGACAAATCCAAATCACAAGTATTGACCTGAAATGAGCACATGTCCCTTTTATGCATTTGACCATTAATTGGAACATGTCTTGTTAATGAAGACTAAATCCAGCATGATATCCCCTCTAACAATCACTAGCTCCTTTAAAGATAATGGTGACAGAAAAAAAGATGAATAAAAAATAATGAAGTCTTTAATAAAAAATACATTTATAAATTCGGCAGCATGAACTTCTCGAATATTTCCAACAACCCAGGAGTGAAACAATGAAAAAGGCTTTTAAAACCCATTCTGGGAAGCAAATGCATACAAATGAGGAAGAAATGGCAAGTTCGATTGAAGGACAAACACAATATGAATGACTTAAAAGAGCAGACAGGTTCTAAAGAATCTGATATGGCAAACAAGGAACTGAACAGAGTTTTTAAACAGAGTATAAACACCACAACAGAAGGATGTTGCTTTGGGTTGATCACAACACCACAAGGTTCACTTCAGTCCTTCAATACACTACAGCAGCATGGTGTAAAGACAAACACATGAACCGACTGTGGAGGCAGCCATCACATCAATCTGTCCTTACGCACTGATTAACAGTCAACTTTACCACAACACATTAGAGGGGAACATTGGCAAAACTGATTTGGAATCAGTGTTTTAAGTACAACTTTATCCTGCCATGGGGAGGAAAACTGAGTCAAACATTTTATTCTGTGTTCTGTGCGTTCAATTACGAGGATACATCAGAACTTCTTTTTACACAACAGGATGGCACTGATGGATGTACAGACTGGGAGGTTACAGGTTCTACAGCAGCCGTATTGCACACAGGAGAAAGCTTTTACTGGAGGTTGTCATCCAGTCAGTCCTGTACATTGTTTAGAAATATATTCCTAACACACTTTTTTTTTTTCTTCTTCAAAGCCTCTTAATTTGCCCAAGCAGGTAGCATAGCTTGTTGTGGTTCCATAGTAGCTTTTTCCGAGGCCATTTGGAGCTTTTTCCCAAACAGATCGTGCTGGGACCTTTTACATACCAGCGTTTTCGTGGACATACGGAAGAACTGGTTGAAGCAAAGCCAATGACTTCATGTGGACAACCATTTGTATTGTAATTGTAATAGTTGGCAAAAAAGGGTTCTTTTTTTCTATATCACCGAAGGGTCACGTGTGTCGACCATAAAATGCCTGTAAAGTATTTGGTTGGCCAAAGAAAAGGGAATTTTAGAAGCAAGTGGAATGCCTTTTACTTCCCTTCCTTCTAGTGGAGTCCTCACAAAGTGCATCGGAAAAACATAAAACGGGAGAGGACAGGCCCGGAGGTTTCCATGTTCATTGCTGAGGACTCTACTGGGACAATACCCAGTCAGAATATGTATTGTCGTGCCCAGCAGGAGGTTCACAGAGAGCTGAAGAGTCATTCCAGTTTTATATTATTGCCCCCAAAGCTGCTGACCAAAATATAACACTTGTTATTTTAAGTGATGATTATGGGACAGGATCTGTGCCTTGGGGTTATTAGCTGCCAACATAGTATGCAGAAAATAGCCAGCTGGCAGGAGTTTTCAGCCGATGCGCAGAAGTTATGTTCGGGCAAAGTGCAGAGGCAAATAATAAGGAAAGGTTTTAGTAGGAAGTGTCCACTGACTGCATGCCCAGTAACGGACATAACAGTCTCCTCTCGTCTCTTAGCATCGTGTTCAAAATATATTAAAATAATTTATCAATGTTTTGTAAACAAACACATAAATGTCTCTTTATACATTTTACATGGTAGAGGTCAAGTCTGTATTCACTCTACAGTATTTCGACTAAATCTTAGCAAGTGCCACTGTGTATAATGTGCTATCTAACTCATGTTGCCTTCTTCAGATTCCCTTTCAAACTGCCGTTTTAAGGACATTATCAAAGGAACGGTGCAGTTGCGGCAGTGAGGATACAAGTAAGTGGATCTGTCACAGCAGGGTAGCACCCACGATCTGTGACTGTAGGGAACCTGTTAGGATGACACATTTCAGGCTGATCAATTGAAATTGAACTTACAAGTACAGTGTGATTTTTGTCTCTGAACAACTTAGAAAAGGTGGCGAAAATATGACCCACGGCCTTCTTTTTTACTCCCAAACGAATTTCCATATTCCATGTTGGGTATGAACAGAGCCATAATAAAGTTTGGTATTCTGTGCTAGTTCAGTGAACATGTGCTTGATTCTTCTACAGTCTTCTGATTGGAGGTGCATGCGAAGCATATACGAGACGTCAGGAGCCAATTCACTTATTCTGATGATATTTTACGGAGGAGGAAGTTCCAATCAGAGCTCAGCAGCTTGAGATTTCGGTCACCGTCTGCAAATATAAAAATGCTTTAGATTAGATTGAGAAGATCATGAGATGAAAAGCTAAATTCTCCTAGCACACCATCACTGGATCATACTACTGCCCGTCTCCCTGCTGTATATGTCTGCTGTTAACTTGCAATACTTCTTATTTGGAGGAGGGAAAATCTGCAGCAGCTAAGAATCAGATTTTAATGATTATGTTTTCCAAAGACAGATGTGACAAAGTTGACCTGATGCCATAATGTGGAGCAAGGTCATAAATGACCGAATTCAATTTTTGGAAACATCTAAACATGTGCTCTATGAAGGTAACTACAGAATACGGTACCTATGTCTTGTTGTGGATCCATAGTTATCCAACATCTGAGTGCTGGCCACCTCCAGGTTCCAGTCACACATCTCCAACAGCTTTAGACACTCTGACCTGCTCCTCAGACCCAAACAGAACAACTGCTCCACCTACAGAGACACATGAAAACCATTGTTTAAAGAAGCCAGGAGTAGGGAGAGACGAGACGGACGAGATGGGGCAGTAAAGCACGGTCACATGGTCAGGTAATGTTTCATCTTTTTATTCTCCTCGAGATTGCAGCACCAGTGAGCACATTGTAAAATGGATCAATGTTTTAATACAAGCTCAGTGTCTTGTTCAAACACATTTCTGTATTTTCTAAACTTTGCCAACACTATTAAGGAGCACACAATTGTTCCCTTGTGCCCATTGCCACACAGGCAGCTAAGAGGGAGCTGAACACTGCTGTAGACACATCAATGAGTCTGGATATCTACCGCCGGCTTATTGCAGCAGCAATGACCACATTTTTCCTTAAGGTCCAACAAAGTTGCTCCTATCACATCTTGATATGAATCAATAAAAAGTAAAAAAAGAGATGAAGCAACTTTGAATGACTGTTTGTTGTTATATCCTGTGAAAAAAAAGGTTATAAGAGAGAAGGACTGAAGGCTGAACTAAGATGCAGTGATCTGGATCTCAGGACCCGTGTTTACCACCGAGGGCTCTTACATTAACGTCCACTTCACAGGGTCTATATTTTGATGGACTAGAACTGTAAAATGTTTGTGTAAAGTTTTGTTTATTGTTTATCAATTCAGTTTGCCGTTCTTCTTCGACAGCTTTTTTTCTTTTTTTTTTTACAGTGAGACATATTTTTATTTGCTCCAGATAATAAAAGTAATTACTTATTTCATGTCTGGAACAATATTTTTTAACTTTGATACTATGGAGCACAAAGAAAAGATAAAAGCACTCGTAAAAGGTTATCAGATCAAAATATAATTGAATACATCAATTAAATAATTACTTCTCCTTAACCTCGAACCAGTTGATAAAAAATACACAAGCTTCCTTAATTAAAACTTAATTTATTCGAAGTTAAGATTTTTTTTTTTTACATCATGAAAAAGGAAAGACTATGTAACACAACTATACAGAGTTATGTCAATTGTGTGTCTTTAAAATGCCATAAAAAGTCACAGAGAGAATACAGGTTTAAGCACTACCGCATTGGCATCACTTTTCAGAGCCGAAAGTTGCCGCCTGCATACTAATAACCTGTAGGGGCGACTCATCTGAAGGCTATGAGGAAATGACCCTACTTGATTTATTACCTTAGTAAACATTGTAATGTTTATGGTCTTATTGCTAGTGTCAAGTCTGCTTCAATACAGTATGATGGTTCTATGGCAAAAGCTGGGTTTTAGTTACAGATCAAGCTGAAAAGGCTTAGTGTGTTTCAAACTGGTGTTTTCAATTAGGATACTCTTACTCTGCATTGTCCACTGATGTTAAACACACAAACACCCTGAACCAATTACTGCCCTGGACATACAGAAACACGCCCATCTCATTATCATATAATCATGAGGAAAATGGGAAGAAGTTAAAGATGACGAATCATTAAATGTGTGCAAAGACCAAAAAGATAGGAAAATTAAATGAGCTAGTAAAAGATAAATAAATTAAACTTTAATTAGCTTTTCTCTATTTTAAAGCTTTATTTATACACTTGATTTTAATTATTTAACTAACTGTATTACATATAACAGTTTCAGGGCGCCATGCGGAAACTTTCCAAAAACCCTGTATTATTGCGATCACTATAGAATCACAGTGTGACCAACAGATAAAGGAAACTGCAGTGCATTAACCTCTTGAAATACACCTGAAAATAAAGCTCAAAAAGGTTAAAAGCTTCTTCATAGCGTACAAATGAATGCGCTCACCTTTAGATGATGCACAGCTTTCTGGACGTTCCAGTTGTGGTTCTGGAGGGCGGCTTGGCACTCCTCTATTGTGACACCGTGAACGGCGTCCTGCACCTGAATCACACAAGATCAACAGTATGGATACATCTGTATCAGCCAACAGCACTCACAGTCCCCTGGCTTTGATTCCTCACTCTGTCGTCACTCGATAAACCTCAAATACTACCTTCAGCATTTACCTCGGGAGCACCTACAAACACGACGGGGCCCTTTTTTGAGATGAAATCAGATTTATCAATTATATAAAACACTTCCAAATCTGACAATCAAGTTATATCGTTCTACTTGAAAAGATTTTTGTCACTTATCCAAGATCTGATCAGCAGTCACCCATTCCGTCACAAAACAAATCCTGTTCCACAAATGATGTTTGTGCAAGTCCACCTTCATCCAACTCTACTTTCAACAAGATAACGCTGACACTGTGTTACTACATGATGAGGTTTTCTAGCAGCATAGTCAGTGATTTCATTTATCTGTTGTTTGATACCTATAATGCCCCCACTATTTAAACTACAACAGTGAGCGAATGCATAGTGCATTGCTACTTCTTGCATTGAACTCCTCTGCAGTACAGTTTATATATATGACCTCACATTCCCACTGCACCGCGTGTGCGGCCACAGATCTGTTTCCAATACAAAGTGCCTGATCGATGTAGAGCCTCTGGTGTTTCGCAGTGATTCTGACTCCAGTTCAATCAGGCTCAATCGGTGTCAAACAAAAAGAAACCGATTACTTTAAAAAAAAAAAAAAAACAATTCACAGCAAACATTAACATGGCCTTTGTCTCAGAAGAACACTGGCATATTGTTTGTATGCTACCACGTCTACTGAAACGCTATTCAAATGGAACTTCCTGTTTAATTAGTCTGATTCATTGGCAGTTCAGCTCCAGTTTGAAAATGTTGTGCTGTGTTACACATCAGTCATCATTTGGTTGAAATAATTTAATTTTAATAGGGAGGCAATTAAAAGGTTCAATTATGACAGATGTATGCAGTTAATAGCATCAACTATATGTGCCTAAGTATCTAACAAAAAGGGAAACGGGGGGGGGGTGTTACAGCGTATGCCATATAACCACAACATCCCAGGTTTGATTCCAGCCTTGGGACCTTTGTTGCATGTCACATCCTCTCTCTCTCTCATTTCTACACTGTCCACTGTCAAATGAAGGGAAAAAATGCCCCAAAAATGTCTAACAGAAAGGGAACAATTTGCGAACACACACACACAATTATCCCTACAGGCTATGGCCTGAGTGGACAACCAATAAAAAAATACCTTCTGTTGCCCCCTTGTGTTCAAAGTATTAGTTACTGTACACCATGTTTATATTTAAGTTAATGTTTAAGAGGAGTCAAGCAAGCCATTTATCAAATATGCACTGCACTCATTGCATTACATTAGAATCATCCTTGATTATCTTGAACATTGCACTGATATTCAAGCAATAAAGGAGCCATTCGCTCTCATAGTGACAGGAAGCTAAGAACCGATGGCTATCTAGTTCAACAACTGTGCTTTTTATCCAATTCTAATTTACAAAAAAGCGATCACAATGGCTTTAAGGAGGACATAAGGTCAACTATAAATTGCATCTAAACTATCCCTCATCACAGAGAAAGTGAGCAAGATTAGGACTTTAAGTACTGAAGCGATACATTTTACCTTTCAGCACGATATAAATCGTAAAATTATACATTAAGTGTTTTTCAAATGAAGGCAATCTAAATATCTCCGATCTTACCATTTTGACCCTGTCAGCCGAGTTTCCGCCGCCGTCTGTCCTGATGCAGGAAGCAGTGACCACCGCTGCTGTCAGCCCGTCTGAACAGATGCGAGGTAGACTAACTGATGTCTTCATCCCTGACCGTGGCCCACCCAGACTGCTGTTATTGTTGGAGGAGAAATTAGCCTTCAGCTCGCCTGGCTGGACAAGCCCGTGTCCCTGGAGAATCTGGCTGCTGACCACCATGGGTCTGACCGTGGCGGTGTTAGCTTGCCGTATATGCCTTTCCTCCACACCGCTGGCGGGCTGGCTATCTGCCTCCCTGAAGAAGCGGTCGTAGCGGTCGAGGTATGGGGGCCTCTCTGGTAGAAGGTAATAGTGGGTGTTACTGACTTTACGTCCATCACGGACGATGGGGAGGATGCACGGGCCTTTGCTGGTGAAATCCTTCCCCTGCGCCTGGGCCTGGATCACTTTGGGGGCAGCATATTTAGGATCTGAGGCAAAGCTGTGCGTGGTAGGCATGAGTTTACCTGGAGACGTGGAGAGGTAGGAGCCGTAGGTGTGTGTAGAGGGACAGGAGGTGTGGGGAGCCTGCATGGTGATGGGGCTGACAGAGTAGAGTCTCTGCTGGGGGGAGCCCACTACCAGGCCCATGGGGCTGGGAGTCCTGGAGCCCGGCTGGGACAAAGGGTCTCTGGGAGGGATCTGAGGTGGGCGTTCCTGGTTTGGGCCTGAAACCTCCTCTGTGATGTCAGCTGGTGTCGGTGACAGGGAGAGATCCCGTGACCAGCGAGCAGATGTGTAGTCGCCCCTCTTTATAGGGCGAGGGGGTATGGGGACACGTGGGGGGATCTGGGGTTTGTCCTCATTGGAGGAGAAGACACTCTGCTGGTGTCCCTCCTCAGTCTGTTGTGTCTGGGGACAAGAGGCTAAGCACTGGGACGGCGAGCTTGACTGTGCAGCACTTCCAGTTGGTACATTTAGCCTCTTCATGCACTCTTGCTGGAGTTCTTGGAAGATCTCAGCTGACTGGGAGAAGGAGGTGGACAGAACCTGGCTCTGCCTGCTGGGGAGAAAGAGGTTGTCCTCCGGACCTGATCGGTCTGGACCCCTGGAAACAAGAGCATCACCCTCAACCTTAGGTCCAGAGAAGAGAGCCTCATCTGGGTTATGGACATCAGTCTGCTCCTCTTCATGCTGCTGCTCTGAGCTGTTGATAGAGCTCACCTTTGTGGAGAAAGAAGATTTACAACTTTGATACATTCTACTATGGATCTAAGTGACATCAGAACAGGAGATAAACATCGCATTTCCATGAAATTTTGGCATAATGTGAAATGTGCTGCGTCACCTCCTACCGTACCTCCATATCGTCTTCGTCTTGGGCGACATCGTCATAGGCCGGAGGTGGGGGTAATGGCCGGGCATCCCAGTCCACTACTTGTGTAGGGTGAAGGGGTCGGGGCAACGATCTCGACGGACTCTGAGGCGGCGTCCGGTCCATGATGTTCTCTGCTTCCAAAGCTAGCTTTGCCAGTGAAAGAATCTGAATTTCAATCACAGGGGAAGGAGTGGGCGGGGGGAACTCCTCCCCAAAGTCAATGAGGGACACGTCACTGTTGTGGCCTGAGCCTGAAGTCCGACCACTCCCCTGTTTGGAAGCAGAGACCCACGCAGCAGGTTTAAGTTTTAAGCCTTTGACAAAACCAGTTTTCCGAAGTGATAATCTCTTTAGTCCTGCTGAAGTCAGATCCTCGTCATCATTTACTGGATCATAGCAAGGCTCTGGAGACACAAACACACAATACGTTGATTACTTTACTGAAAAACATTGAAAGTGATGACAGCAATGCTCTTTTAGATCACGTCACACCAGAAAATACAAGACACACTTCAGGTTTTCCAGGTCTGAAGTTAGTCCTATTGTGCACAGAAATGACACTGCACACCTGTTAGAGGGGACACGTCGATGGAAAGATGGAGAACAATGATACTAAGAAAGGAAATTGAAGTAGACGTTGGAATCACTGCAAAGACAGGCAAAGAAACAAAAGTATGGAATGTACCTTTATTAAGGAGTGGAGCTAGGAGGGAACAGAGAGGGCAGGAACAATGGGTGAGGAGCTGCTGAGAGAAACCAGACTTACTCTTGATTAACACTGCTGGCTGAGGAGGGCGAGGAGGAGGCTCCTCTGGAAGAATAAAAGCAAATACCGCCATCGCAAAGGAGATACAGAGGGGGGAAAAAAGACAGCAGCAAAGATAGAAAGATTAGGGGAAAAAGCAGGAGGCAAATGTCAGATTACATATGAAATTTATATATATAATATTTTGTCGGCAAGTGTTAAGAAATATTAAAAGCTAGCCGTTTGGTGGCCATATTTCCAAAGCAACATCTGCTCTGCATGCAAAATGTGGAATCATTTTATCGATTGACAGGCGTGTTATCATACCTATATCAGCGGTAGGCAACAATTAAATATACGTTTAATAGTTTTTAATGTTGTTTAGGTTTGTTTACAAAAGTGATTATGATCAGTTGTGAAAATACAAGTGTTATTTTCTTTACATATATGATCAAACCATTTCACAATCACCAAATTGAGCCAAATGCTAAACGGGTCTGGATCAGTGGCGCCAAATAGAGTTTGAACCCAGAGACACTGAATCGTCTTACGAGAGTGTTTATCCTCGGTATTTGTCGATCAAAACAGCCATCATTATGGTCTCCGTCTTTATTGGAGCTCTTTAACTCACTTCTAGCTCGTCCTGGTAGCTGTGTGAGCCGAGCACCGCTGAGGTCAGCACCAAGGACATCAGGAGGATCCATGGGATTACCGAGGTACAAACTGGAGGGAAGAGAGCACCAGACTTGATTACAGCAAATGCCAATATAGTGACTCTACCTAACCTTGGTGTTATAATTTGGAAATTTGTAGTATTGTGCTACTGCCATCTATTGGTGAGAGTTTATTATTCCAACTGATCAGACCTTTTACCACCAACTTCCAACATGGGGCATAATTATGATACATATTTATGAAGTCATTCAGAGACATTTTGACATTGTGGTACTAAAGCCTCGTAAAGTAAATAAACAGAAGCTGGTCCCCTACTCGTCAATCCTGTCAGGGAAGCCCCAGCAGCGATGAGGGTTGCTGTCTCCGTGTCCTGTGTGGATGAAGCTGTTCTTGAGCGGCCGGCTGATGTCATGAGCTGACAAACCTGCTACTGATGTCACCACATTTCTGGGGAACGGTCCGACCTTAAGGGTTCGCTTGTTTTGACCTCTCCACCAGAAGTTCTCTGCCCTGAAAGACACAGAAATACCGAGGATGAAACATGGAGCGTCATCAGCAGGGCATTACCAAAAAACAAATCATTTTACTACACATTTAACATGTAATATTTATAATGTAGTGCATTTAGCATAGTGGATATTCAATATATTTTAATAGTAAGCATTGATTGACTCAGCAACTTTTCCCTTTAAACAGTATTTACCAGTATTAAGGTTGACAGGTAAGTCTGGAAGGTAAAAGTTACAGATTTGGAGGAAAGCATCTTATCCAAAGTCTTAAACATTTAGTTAACACCCACCTCCCCTCTATTATGGTGATGACATCATTGATCTGGATCTGGAGTTTGTCAGGCTCATCAAAGTCCTGCAGAGCAGACATGTCTGTGGGCATGGTCTGAAAAACACCCACATATAAAGACACAAAAAACACACATGAAACACCAAAGTTAATTTTAACACAGCAAACATTTATGAATGGGCCACATCTTACATCCATGGACGTATGTAATGTTTTATTGGGAGAGGGGAATAGCACTATGTATAATAGTGCTATTATAATAGCATAATAGCACTACGTATGTGTTTTTATTTGTTTTTTGTGTCTCGACTGTTGTGCTGCGACTGTTTGTTCTTCTGTTATGAGCACACAGACAAATTCCAAACATCTACGTTGTATGGCATTTAAGTATTGAATCTAAATGTAGTGTAGCTAGTTGTTGCTATCCTTCCAGCTGAGGGCATGTTTCAGTTTCTTCTTTGCAGTAACTCCACTATGTGGAGCTGAAAATCTATTAATGCGATGGAGGATTGCTGGAGGAACACTGGCCTTTCTGTGCCAGAGGTGTCAAGATTACAAAGAAGTATCTTTTGCTTAGTGGCTAAAAAACAACAACTTTATATTTAACACCCTGGATATACAACGTTGACTACCCAAATGGCAGCTCTCCTACCTCAAGCAAGAACTCACGCAGGGCAACAAAGGTGGGTCTGTCATCTGGTTTCTGAGCCCAACACTGCAGCACCACATGATAGATATCCTGCGGACAGTCTTCAGGCTTCGGGAGGCGTTCACCTTCTTTATCAATCTTGTGCAGGATCTAGGGTGGGGGGGAGGGGTTTGACAAAGGAGAAAAAAATTGAAAGAGGACAATTGTGTAAATGTGAATAAATCTGACACATTTTCTGGGTTTGCCTGTGTTACTTCAGCTTCAAGATGTGTTTCAATATTTTTTGTTTACCTGGCTCCCATTGAGGCCCAGCCAAGGCTCCTGGCCATGTGTGAACATCTCCCAGAGAGTGACTCCAAACATCCACGTGTCAGTGGCATGAGAGAACGTTCTGGTCTTCAGACTCTCTGGGGCACACCTGAAGCAGGACGGACAAAAACTTTAATGTGTACTGTATATGTCCAAAGATAATCCTCACTTTGGTCAATGCATTTAGTTTTTCCACGCTACCTTTAAAAGCATTTTAAATGAAAAAAGCTGCACTGTCTTTGGAAACATTAAAACCATACATGCACATGAATTAAAACAGTGAAAAGAAAGCTAGTGGTTTTGCCAACACAGAATTTGCCAAATAGTCCAAAAAAAACAAGTCTCTCATAACAATCATCAGCATGGCAGGAACGCAGCTGTGACTGATTAGAGTTCTTTGTGGAAACTTTCTGCAATAAAATAAATCCTATTCCCCTAACCACTAAAACCACTCATATCCATGCATGAATTGCATCCAAGTACAGCTTTGGCTATTGAGCTGCTCCCTCAGTCCACCCACCATGCAAAGGGGACCTTTCGATGCTCCTGCATGACGTAGTGCTCATGGTTGTTGGGCAGCGCCCGCATCAGGCCGAAGTCTCCGATCTTCACTCTGTGAGCTGAGGCCAGCAGGATGTTCCTGAAGATAGACGGTCAAATATTTAACTTTTTTTTTGTACATTTTAAAACTTAACATGCGTGGCTTTTATTCTGTACTGTATGACCTCCGTTCTTTTTAACTTCAAGGAGTATTTTGGGAAGTTGAGGTGCAGCCGTTTCCATCATATAATCTAACTACAATTTAAAAGGTTTTGCTTAGGTGGCATATTACTGATATACCATCAGCACACTGTTAAGGTGACAGATGCTCACAAAGCCCCCCCAGATACAGTAGCATCAACAAAGATGAGGAGGAGTAAGCTTCTATTGTGGTGGAAATATGTTTTCTTTAAGATCTATATGAAATGTTTGACCATTTGTTGAGAGGAGAAAGAATCATCAAACTGAACTTGACCTGAAACATGACATTTAAATCCAATTATGGTTTTGGTAAATGGTTGTAGGAAATGAACAAAACAGATTTATTTAATGGTCAATCCTGAGCAAAGTTCAGAATGTGATCCAGTCATATACATTTAGTCCATGTGCAAGACAGTTGTAGTACACTCAACATGTGGTGCATAACACAAGTAATGTTCTGAATGCAGTCCTAAAACCTACTGCAGGTTTTAATTGAAGGTATTATGAATACAATTAACCGTCTGGCAGGTTATAACTGAATTTCAAAATGTCTAAAACCACAGCTTGAGAAATCCTCTTAGTGACTGGCACACTGTAAAAGCCATGTGTAGTCATTACCGTTGTATATCAGCCGTAACTGTGAAAGTGACTCATTTCTACCAGCCATTAAGACTTTTCTCAAGCATCTTACACAGTGTCAACTGTTAGGTGAAAGTGACTAATTTGGGCAAGACCAAGAACTCAGACCACCCATTACAGACAGCCAACCAGTGACTCATTTTTACTTGTGGGCCAAGTCTCCCTGTAACGGCCTGTAAACGTCTGGGTGGAGAAGCAACATAAATAATTCACCACACCAGTAAAAACTCCCTCAAGAGAAAAATAGGTTTCATAGAGAATGTGAAGAAAACACCCCGTAACCATCTTTAAAATATAGCTTTTGACCATTTTATAGTTGCTAAAACTTACAAACGCTTTAAAAAAAGTGGTTGGTCCCCTACCTGGCTGCCAGGTCCCTGTGAATGAACCTCCTCTGCTCCAGATAGGCCATGCCACAAGCCACCTGTACGGCATACTGACACAGAGTGTGGATCAACACTGGGCCCTGTGGACGAACACATCGCAAACGCTCCAGCAGAGAACCCAGAGGAGCCAGCTCGGTCACCTTCACGAACAGAGAGAGAAGAACGAGAGAGAGAGAGAGTGGGTGAAAAGAGGACCGGAGGAGTAAAAAGCAAAAGGTGCGAGGAATAGATGGTGTTGAAGAGATATACATTTATTTGGAGATGAAAGAAGGGAGTGAGAATAGGAGGAAGATAAATGTAAAATAATGTAAACATAAAAACTGAAAAAAACTAATTTTGTGAGTTGTGTTATAGTCTATTGATAGTCATGACATGGTCCAAAACTATTTGGCAGAGGAAATAACTAGAAAGTAACAGCAGGATGAAAACAACGAGGCTGAAACGTCAGCCCTTATTTTAGTCCTCCATCCGTATGCTCCCCTCCCTTCCTGTCTCCCTCCTTTCCTCCATCACTTTCTCCGGCCATGACAAAGGCCGTAAGATGCTTGACCCGATACATGCAGACACACCCAACATACCTTTTCCCACTACAACAGCTATTTGTCACCTCATACTGTCACACATTAGATACCTCTGTAACAAATACAATGTATTATATCCATTATTAATTACTTTAATTTATTATTATCATGATCATATTATTTTCCTAAAAATAAAATGAAAAAAAGAAGCTTGACCTGATTTAAATAGACCGTAAGGTCAAGAACCAGTCTCAGAGAGTGGCTGAGAGGGACATTTGTGTGAAGTGTATATGGGTGTAAGTCAGACCACAGGTTCATGTGTGATTATGCTCATCTGTCAGTGTATATTCCTCCCTGTGCGTGTGCGTTTCTGTGTGTCCACTACCATCTTCATTGGGTGTGTGAGCACCACACCGTAGAGGCGAATGAGGTTCTGGTGGTCCAGGGAGTGCATGGCGTTGACCTCACAGATGAAGTCCTCCAGAGCTTCAGGCTGGCTGAGAACATCTGTCTTCAGACACTTCACAGCTACATTCAGCTGGAAGCAAGGACGACGATTTAGTTTAAATGTATTCTTACTATTCAGCCTTTTTTTCACACTTTCAGTGCTCCTTTTATAGCAGAAGCTTTACTAATAAAATGTACACAAACTCATCCTGAAAACAGTACGAGTACCCAGGTTTATGCTTCCTACAGCGGCACAGAATGCAAACAAGCATGATAGAAAATAACTGTAGTTGTGTGACCACGGCACAGTTCTATCTTTTACAAATATCTTCAACACACAGAACCTGTTAAGAGAACTAAATACATTTAAAGGGCGGGTCTCCTCACCACCTTCCCTGCAGGCGTCAGCCACTCTCCTCTCTTCACGACACCAAAAGTGCCGTCCCCCAGCTTCTCAAACATTGTCAGATCCTTCTCTGGGATGAGGCAGGTCAGTGCCTGCTGCTGCCCATCAAGAGGAGCACCGCCACTAGGCTGTGTGGCCAGGACTCCCTCCCCCAAGCCCAGCAGAGGTGTGGGAGACAGCTTACGAAAGGAGGAGGCCGGCTGGCCCTGCTGGGGGAAGTCTCCTCCATCTGGGCGCTTCCCACTGAACACCTACAGAGGAAGAGAAAGAATGAAGGGAAGAAAGTGTTTCAGCTGTAAAACATTAGCGAAAAGGTCCAATAATGAACAAGAGACAGAGAGATACAAGCATCAGTGGTGGGATAAGGCCAAGAAAATGAAAGTGGACATTGACCATAGGCTTCAATGTATTTACATATTTGTCTATTATTATATTATTATTTAATACAACACACATTTCTATTTTTAGATGCATTTCCTAGGAGTGACAATGCACTGTTTGTAAGTATAATGAAAAAACAATTAGATGAATTGAACTGCTTATAAACAATAATATGAACCCCATCGTGGGATGAACAAACTGCCCGAGGAGTTGAGATGTCTCTCACGAAGGGCCACATCTGTGTTTCAACGTCCACCTTCATTAGTCACTCAATGAGCCGCTTTGCTTTGAGGAGACACTGGGCTTAAGATTGTGGATGGAAATGGAGGAAAGATACCAGACAAACATTTGTTATGAACTCTATCTCCCGCTCTTTTCCATCTCTTTCAGCCTCGAGGAAAACTATTTTTTTTTCCACTTTATCTCTCCCTGGTCTGCTCTCCCCCTACTCTCCTCACCCACTCACCTGCTACTGTAGGCCTGCAGAAACACTGGATGCAAGTAGCATGCATTATCAGGCAGTGATGATGGTTTCTGTTTCTACATTCTCTTGTTCACTTTGTGAAGGAACAGAATCAGGCGTTTAATTTCAGCCCAGTGTGAGTTTTGTTTTTAAAAGCACTTTCTGAATAAAGAAAGCTTAGCTTTATCTGACTGCTTCTATTGATTGATGAAAAAGTAGCCGTGTGCCGTTATATTGGAAATTGAATAATACATTGAGAACCATTGGCAGGTAAGTTGTAATTGAATAGAATCATGAGGCCAGTGAAGATTCACAACTCTAGCTGATATGCTGTCAGTAAGCAGCTATGCATATATACCGAAACAAGCGCGCACACACACACACACACACACACACACACACACACCATTATAGGAGAGACATTTCCTGCCTCTTGGCTTAAGTGCTGACAACACAGCAGGAATGACTTAGCCGTTAGGAAGTACTCATTAAGAAGCACTATTAGATTAAGTGACCTGAATGTACATGTGTTTGTGTGAGCTTTTCATTCCCCTAAATTTGAACCCGTACAATGTGTGTGCGGTGCAGAGCCATTAAGGGAAACCTTTGTTTAGAGGCCCTATCTAAGACCAAAGTAGGAATGCGCAGAAACAAGCACTGCTGTCATACCCAGAGGAAACGATACCGAGCGATATATCAAATAACATTACAGGTAAAAGAATTCAATAACAATAAACAGTAATATCCAACCCCAATTAACATGCAGCATATCACATATGCACATATTTGTCAAAGGTAGAAACATTTTGAATCTAAAGCAGTAAATGAATGTCATTGTTTTATGCAAATGAAGTGAATGAGACCAGTCTGAAGTCATTATTGACTGGTGATCAAAAGGTCAGTACTCTGAAATGGTATCATCGGTGAAAAAGAGGTGTCGATTGAATCCTCGGTGCCAAACATATTTGACTGGCCAGATATAAACAGTAGCAAGCCGTGTGTGGTTTCACATTCACACTGGACCAGACATGACATAATGCTGCAAGCCTTTTTAAAAACACCACATCTTTGTGGTCACTGTGTGGCGAGTGGGTTTCAAATAGGAGGCTCGACATTCAAAAGATTCTGAGCATGGCAGCATGCACACGCACACGCACGCACACACACACACACACACACACACACACACACACACACAGGACGCTGAGGAAGCAGATTACTTTAGCTGAGGATGGTGCCAGAGGCGGAAACAGACAGGTGTAATTATAGAAGGCAAGCACCATGTTCTCTGGGCACCGCGACTTCCACAGAGAACAGCACACGCACCAAACACTCTCTCTCACACACACACACACACACACACACACACACACACACACATACACACACACACACACACACACACACACACACACACACACGCGCACACACACTCACACACAAAGAGCAACGACTGCCCAGTATTCGTTCCCACTTCATTCCCCCTAGCCTTGTGCGAGTGTGCGCAGTAGGTGTATCATATATTGTATGAGCTTGTGTATAAACTATCCTTCTTAGAGATACAATAGGAGTAGAAAGGACATTAAACTGTTTTCCATTTAACTAGTACAAAAGAAAATGGCGATTATTGTACGTTAAGGTGTCATAAGTGGGGCCATAAGGTGTTGTCGGGTCACAGCTCCAGAGACGGATGGCTGGCGAGCTAGCTAAGCGTTAGCTGGTCTTTCTCCAGAGCGGCATGGGAGTGAGGCAGAGGGACTGTTAGACCCAGCGCTGCCACTGGCCACCAGCCTGCTGTTCGGCTCATTTTCTGTAACCAGTGTAGCATTAAAGCATGGTGGAATCAGCAAACAAGTGGACAGTTGGCTAGCTGGCTAATTCCGCCATGCTTTATTGCTACACCGGTTAAGGAAACTGAGCCGAACATAGTTGACTCTCGTCTGGCAATAGCAATGTGCTTTCCTACACTGTGCCAAGAGCTTGTGGATAAAGCATTAAATTGTTAGATTGTACTAGTTTACTCTACTCTGGTTTGCCCCTGATTTTAATAGGAATGTCCATTCTACTATTATTTATTTCTATGGTATCTTTTATTGTTAATCCTTTATTTAAAGAGAGTGAAAAAGTAATAGTCCTACGTGGTTCTGTCTCTTTAAGGGACAAACTTTAAGCTTCATGAGACAAAGTTTCTGTGAATGCTGCATGCTCTGAATCCATGTGTCACCAACTCTTGTGACTTGACTCGTGTGCGTTTGTGTGTGGACATGCGCATCCTCAAGAGAAGGGTCAGGCTGTTTTGTTCTCTGGAAGGATTTCCTCATAGATGTGCGTGCATTACATCTGTATTTTTAGTTCTAAAGACTTAAAAACAGCTCTGCCATTCACACTACCGTCACCAGTTCTTTGTTGCTAGAAATAAGAATTGTATGTCCTAATTCAACACAACAGAAGCATTGAGTCCCCTATACAGCAGACTGGCATCAAACTGACAGATGGTAAAGGCTGCGTTTTAGTAGATATGTCTAAGTTAAGTGAAGCATGTTGAATTGCCTTTGAGTATGAAATGTGCTTTACAAATAAACTTACCTTGCCAGCTTGTTAAAATACTGGTCTTCACAAAAAAAAAACGCAAAAATAATCTGTCACGGTGTTGCAAAATGTGATCATATCATCTGTACAGGGGAAAGTTTCTATCATGCATTGTTCATGCGTGTGAATGTGTCAACACTGTGACAGACAGACAGACGCCAACATGGCGACATAATGTCGAGCACACCATGTACCATAATAAATGAGTCCTGTGTGTGTGTGTGTGTTGTGCCTGTCTATGTCTGTCACCTTGCTCATCCAGGATTTACGCTTGCACATGGCTTTCCTCCTTTTCACAGCCTCCCACAGTCGTCTCTGTCCTTTATCAAAAGAATAAAAGAGAAATGCAGTGATGGTTACTATTACTGATTTCCAAGTCATCTCTCTTAGTTGGAAGATAACTCTGAGCAGGACAAAACAAACAATAGAAAACAACAACAACTTTGATATGAAAGGGGGAAAAAGGAAAAACACAAAGAGGATGGGAGGGGGGAGAAAAGATGGAGATACACACTTACTATATGTTAGAAGAGATTGGAGATAAAGCAAGTACAAGACAGAAGAGGGTTGAGAGTTTAGAGAACAGTGAGATGAGTGGAGGAAAAAGATTAAATGAATATATGAGAGCAGCAGAAGTGGGTGTAATTAGTCTTAACTTGATACCCGAGAACCCTGAGGGCATCAGTAACTGGATTTAGAACATTACTGCTGCAGTCCTCTTCACACACACATCGCACACAAAAGAATTGGCACTTAAGCGTCCCTTCCTATTGTGCCTAATTAGCAGTGACTTTAAAATGATATTAGGGTAGTTAGTAATGGAGGATTTCTCCAGCTATGCGGAGGGTGAGCCAAATGACACATTGCCATTACTGCAGACAAAAGTAATATTGTAGGATGATAGTAGTAATCATTTAGGAAGCTATGTTTAGAAACAAAAAGAAAAGGTGATGGTCTAATAAGGCCTTGAACCGTGGACCGATATTTTAAGTCTACCAGGGAGTTTTCCAGCCGGATCAGCTACCACTGCTCACATTTATTGACTTTTATGTGAAGTTTTCTTTAACGAAACTATTTTCCAAATGTTCAAAAACACATACTGTGAAAACAACAAAACACACACACATACAAACACACAGTTTCTCACCAGGTCGACCCATGCCGATCTTCTCCAGGTCTTCGTTCTTGACGTAGTCAAAGTGCGACAGCCGCGTGACGTTAAGGTCATCTCGGATCCGCAGTAAGTACTGCTGCAGCTGCACCTCCATCAGCAGCTCCAGCAGCCATTCTGTGCCTTCCTCACACTGCATGCTACCGCCCAGTTTCTGCAAAACGCACACAAAGAATACAGGGAACCGAATTCAATATTTAGTCAACAGTTTTCTCAATGCTTGGTCTCAAAGCTACAAAACACAGCAGGAGAGAAAGTCACTGAGCAACAATCAAACCATTATTTTCTGGGAATAAAAGGAGAGGAACTGAGCTCAGGTCTATTGTGTGATCACCAGTAATTGTTTACAACACACTGAAATGCTTGCTTAAACGCTTAGACTCAAAATACACACACACATATACACACATTCGGGCACACACACTTAAGCACTGCAGATTGGGTTGCCCAAATTTACATTCCATAAACAAAACAAGGACATGGATATAGCATTAGCTGCTTGTCAGTGGACCAAAAACGGACAAATTTGACTTCGACAGAATCAAATAGACATTGATTACAGATCCTGTGTCATTGTAGTGTTAATATACCACACTGTCAGCTATTTGTTTTCAGCCTCAAAATAGATTAATAACTACTCTGGAAACAGAAGGTAGCAGTTTAGGCAGCTCGGCTCTAGACGCTGTGTTAACATCACATTCATACGACAGACAGAGATACATGAGATGGATGTTGTACATCTGGCATCTATAAGTGTCAGTGAAGAGAAATGGGAGGCTCCTAAACAATCTGACCACAATATATATATATATATATATATATATATATATATATACACACACTGTACTATGGCCCTCTATAACACAGAGTGAGACATCAATCTTCAATGTCAAAACACAACACCACAGTTTAAAACATTGTCAATCACCGTCTACTTAAAGTGACAAGCTGAAACTAGCGCAACACAAAGATGAAATTCATCTTAAATCCTGTTGTGCTTCTTCATCGGACTATAAATCAAGGTGATGGAATTAAATAGAGAGCAAAGGTGTGAAGAACTTTGAAGATGAACCACTACAAAAAGCTCATCTACTCCTGCATTACACTTGCTCACACTGGTCAGCAGTATTATTCCCCGTCTCAATGGGGAGGGGAGCCGACCTAATCTGCAGAGATTGACAGGGAAACCTTTCTGGTGGATGCGCTGGGTCGTAGGGGCAACTCCGCTGAGTAGTAGTTGGACTCTGTGAATGAGGGACTTCCTGTGCTCGCTGAGCCAAGGTAACAAGGTCTAGAGAGACGTGTCAGAGGTCCCAGCTTCCCTGCTGTCATCTAAACTTCTTAATGGGCTGGGTTAGAGGTCACTTCCTATTGCTTAATGAATGTGACCTGAGGAGTTAAAGTATGTCTTCCTCACACAAGTATACATACCTAATGTTGGGCCATAACAGTTGGCATGATGTGACCATCTCCCAAAACACTGTAAAGATCCATCTACTGTGCCTTCATTTATTTAAATGGAAAGTGAGTGGTCCTGTATTTTCCATGCATTTTTGATGCGAGGTCCGACTGAGACCAATCTGCTGGGAGGGCTCAATCCCCAATGGTTATGCCAGATGTCTGTATCCTGATACAAATTCATTGCAATGCACATAAAAGTGGGTCAGCTGATATCTCTTTAGCAATGTCCAAACATGCAGCTTTGGCTCTCTCGAGTCAGCGGGAGGCTCTGTCCCACTTTAACAGGTCAACAGAAAACTGTCTGTGAGAAATCCTCGGATTTATGTGAAGCAGGTACAACAAGTCTATTATTAACTTATAACCCAATACAATACTATAACCTGCCAGATCCACTTTATAGAGATGCAGGCTACACTGAATGCCTGCAGTGCCTGTGGCTTTGGGATTAAGTGCAGCTGCAGTCATTTGAATCGGTCTCTCTCGCATCGTGCCTGACCCCCAACCCCGAGAAAGACGATACAGCGGTCTGTTTGGCTGCTCCACTACGGCGCTAAGCGTTGCCAAATGCTCTTCCACCATGTAGCATGTTTATTTGATCCACTGATTACGCTGTTAAGAGTTTAAAGCGAAAGCTTTTGCTGACACAGAAGAAACATTTTTGATATAAAGCACAAAATATTCATTTATGGGGCATACACCATGACTATTAGCCGCTTTATCCTTCATCGCCCGCAGCAGTCAACATGGAAGTGTTATTTCACCGGATGGTGCCAAAGACGCAAGTCAGCTTCCTCTTGGGCCTCTTTCCACGACAGTGTCATATTTGAGGCACGAGGGGTCAAAATCAAGGTGCTTAAGCCCTCGTGTCATATTTCTCTGTCAACTTGCTAACCAATTTACAAAACACATTAAACAGGATACCACGTTTTAAACTTTCAAAAACAGGTGCAGCACAGAAATCACTTTCACTCATACGTTGCCACCAACTCACACTATCCGCTAACAGTTTGGGAGGAAAAAAAAAAACAGCAAGTATGAAACAGAGAGGGGAGAGAGGGATGTAGGAATTCAGATGCAGAGGAACAACATGATGTCCCTGCTGAGAAACGCCTCTGGCCTGAACTCATTCCTCATGGTAGTGGAGAAATGCTCACACACACACACACACACACACACACACACAC